CCTGGAATTCTGGAATATTCTCATAAATAAAGGCCTGCAACTATACTGTATCCAATGGAAACACCAGTAAAACCTTTACACATGGTTATTTATAATATAACATTTACAATACGCGAGCGTTGATTGGTCGAAAAGTGTGTTTCTATATAACTGCGATTCCTTTTCGCTGCAATGATTGTACAGCATCAATAAAACAATTTTAATAGGCGTTGTAATGGAAAGAAATGTGTGATATTAACAGTTTTAACAACCAAATTAAGGAACAACAAGACAAAAAGGAAATTCTCAGTTCAAATAGAGCAGAACTTTATTATTTTATAGTGGGAGTGGACTTTATGGTGAGGTGATGAGAATTTATAAATTAATCGATATAACAAATGCCATGCATGGAAACATTTTCTCTGTGTCTCTATACAGTTATATAAACACTTGCGGTATAGTTGGGAAGAACTAATAATAATAATAATTTATTAAAAAAACAATATTGCAGCAATAGCTGAATTACATTGGGTGAACTAATTACATAATCGACATATTAAATTGGTGTACAGATGCAGGAATAAAAGAATTTCTAAATCTGTTAGTAGAATAGCGAGGTTCAATGAAAAGTCGCTCTTGTCTTAATGAGCGTCTAGCATTGACGATAAAAGTTGGTAAAAAATGGTACAACTGGTACAACTTTTGTTCATAATTGACCTGAATAATTTCTGACAGAGAGCTTTACGTCAATCAGACAAAGGGCAGAGTTTTGTAATCTCCATGCCATCACGTACTGTATACGATATATCCGGTCCTTAAGATGATGAAAAGGGTTCGTTTTTGGATACGTTCCAGATCATCACTTAGACATCTTGGCAGAGCATAATGGAAAACAGGGGGAGCATAATTGATAATACTGCGAATACACAAACAGTATAGAAATAGATCATATCGGCACGGGCACTTTGGCACGTTTAAGCTGCCTCAAGAAGGAAACGTTTGGAAGTTCTTTTAATAACGCACTCTATATGTGACTATTCTATCTCAGATCATTGCTGATGATAATCCCCAACACTTTGGCATGCCTTACGATTTCAAGTTCTTTATGATTTATGGTCAAGGGATGACAAGAATTTTCCACTCGAAATAACGTGGATTATTTCTCCCATGCAACTGTATAGAAACACGGACACTGTTTTGTATAGAAACAACCATTCACAATTTTCTCGCATAAAAACTAACGGCAATTCATTTTTTTGTTGTATTGTAGTAAAAATTAAGTTTGTCTCGTTAATTTTATTGAACTCTTAAAATTACAAGTAAAACTCTTTACCGATTTTTCATATCTTGCTTAGTTTTTGAAATATTTGGCCTGAAAAGAATGAACAGTCTGCCATCTTAGATAATTCTTGTATCTCATTAACCAGTAGCACTGGTGATGTCAGAAGCAGGGTTATAGCTATATAAAGCTACTCATAAAGGATCAAATAATATGGATAGGTTCTGAAAACGTCAGATAATGGAAATCAGACCGAAATGTAATTTTGGGCTCATAATGACCATTGCATACCTGGCTAAAATATGTGCGTGACCATGCATGCTTGTGACGTAACGCGCATACATGTATTCACAATAATCCAAGATGGCGAACAGCTCAGTGATGTATAACGATTTTTGTAAAAATATTTCGAGAACTAAACAACATTTGAAGAAGCTGGAAAAATATTTTCCGTACAGTTTCCAAACGTTCTTTCAAATGACATAAAACAACATTTTTATCGTCGTATCCTCTTTCGAAACTTACCGAATCTATCGTAGAACCAATGACTAGTACAGGTTGATCACGTATACCCTCGCCATTCCTATACGCACGTATCCTTACTGCAGGTTCACATTGGGCTGCCTTTATCTCTTTATTTAACGAATGAAGACTAGTGATCTTTCGAAGTCTCTTCATCTGATCTTCCCACATCGCTAACGTAGCATCAGCTTCTTGACTTGTTAGGTTAACCTAGAAAAGAAACGATAAATAGTATCATCTTTAAAGCAGTGGTATATCTATGGGCGTGTTGCATGGGTAGTGTTGGGAGGACAGCGAGATGTGGTCTTCGTCAGCAGGAGTGAAATTTGTAAATGTTTTTTAAATGTATTAGACCCAACTTATACGTTTTGGAATTCAAAGTATCACCGCAGTTCAAAATATAATCAATAGTAATAATTAATTTCGTTTTTGATTAATCATTAATAATTCATTCGTGTAGTTGTTGACTGTTGAGGTCTTGGTATTTAAATTTTATATAATCATTAAATTATATATTATATCTGTAATGACTGTTAATTGTAACCAAAAAACGTCTTGGTGCACTTTCGTGAGTTTTTGAAAGACCTGAAATACATGGACTTCAATGATCTTGTTTCTTTGCACTTCACCTGGTGGAATTAATGTTCTCAGTTGGTTAGAGAACTGCACCGGAATCGCAGGGCTGTAGGTTCAATTCCTACCAGAGGACCTTGTGCCGCTCATTTATACGCAGAATAGCCCCTTTAAATTAAATTAAAATAAAAGTTCATTATTAACTGGAAAGCTACTACCATGCAACTCGTTTCTTTCTTGCAAAGATAAAGTATATTTATGAATAAACGTTGACTAACATAGATAACGAGTAATATTGTTATTCTAATGATTTTCCAAACCATCTATTCTATTAACTATGATAAAACAGATCGCTGTTTAATGCAACACTATAATTAAATATCGCTCGTTAGACAATAAACTCTTTAACTATAAATCTATTTGAGAACCATATATCCTGACGATGAATCTAACTCAAATCCATACAACCAGAATTTACATTTAATAACTCCAAGATTATAGACAGGTCTGATCAATCCATTGGTTCTTATTGCTATTCGAAATGTAAAGCCTAACATTTATCATCATAATGACATTCCTGCATGGGATCACAAAGTATTCAAACTTTTTACATTTCATGCTGAACTTCTTTGATTCAAAAGCACCAGTGCAAAAAAATATAATAACCAGTAAAACATTTGTTACCTGATTATTCAAGCATTTAAAACAACTGGGCTTCTCTTGTTTGGCGGCTGTTAAAAGAGAAATATCTATCGGTTAAGCCATTATACAGGGTGTATAAAAAAAAAATGCACAGATTTGAAATTGCTCTTAAATTCGCAAAACAGCTATTAGTATCCAGTTTTTGATGTATATAGCTTCTTTGGGTACTTAATGTAGAAAAATGGAAAAAATTTCTCGAATTCAAATTGTGTAAACCAGGGGGGGGGGGTGTCTTTTCCAACAAACTAAAAATGGCTTGCCCACGAAATTTAAAAGCTTTAATTATATTTTGAGTTGATAGATGGAACATTTGTTGGGTTTTTAATTACTGTACAAAATTTCAGACAATTTGCTTCAGTTTAAGCCCTTTAACTATTCATTTTTCTCTAAAAAATTAGCCTTTCGCATGCTTAATTAATGCCTTTACCTAATTTGCATATTGCTGACATATGCAAATTAGGCAAAGGCATTGATTAGCATGCAAATGGTGATTTTTTAAGACAAAATGTAAGTTTGCGTGAATGGTTAAAGGGCGTAAACTGAAGCAAATTGTCTGAAATTTTGTACAGTAATTAAACACCCAACGTACTTTCCATCTGTTAACTTAAAATATGATTAAAGCTTTTAAATTTCGTGCGCAAAAGACACACCCCCCTGGTTCACAAAATTTGAGGTCGAGAATTTTTTCCCATTTTTCTACATTATAAGTACCCAAAGAAGCTATATACATAAAAAACTGGATACTAATAGCTGTTTTGCGAATTTAAGAGCAAATTTCAAATCTGTGCACTTTTTTAATAGACCCTGAGTGTATACACAGGGTGTATCAAAAAAAACTGAACAGATTTGAAATTGCTCTCAATTTCGCAAAACACCTATTTGTATCTGTTTTTTTATATATATAACTTCTTTGGGTACTTATAATGTAAAATAATGAAAAAAATTTCTCGAACTCAAATTTTGTGAACCAGGGGGGGGTGTCTTTTCCAACAAACTAAAAATGGCTCGCGCACAAAATTTAAAAGCTGTAATCATATTTTGAGTTAATAGATTGAAAATTTGTCGGGTTTTTAATTACTGTACAAAATTTCAGACAATTTGGTTTAGTTTAAGCCCTTTAACTATTCATTTTGTTCTAAAAAGTCAGCCTTTCGCATGCTTAATTAATGCCTTTACCTAATTTGCATATTGCTGACATATGCAAATTAGGCAAATGCATTAATTAAGCATGCAAATAGCTGATTTTTCGGGAAAATTGTAACTTTGCGTGAATAGTTAAGGGGCTTAAACTAAACCAAATTGTCTGAAATTTTGTACAGTAATTAAAATCCCGACAAATTTTCCATCTATTAACTCAAAATATGATTGCAGCTTTTAAATTTTGTGCGCGAGCCATTTTTAGGTTGTTGGAAAAGACACCCCCCCCCCCTGGTTCACAAAATTTGAGTTCGAGAAATTTTTCTCATTATTCTACATTATAAGTACCCAAAGAGGCTATATATATAAAAAACCGGATACAAATAGCTGTTTTGCGAAATTGAGAGCAATTTTAAATCTGTTCAGTTTTTTTTTATATATATATATATATATATATATATATATATATATATATATATATATATATATATATATATATATATATATATATATATATATATAGAGTTCACTGGTTTACACTTATGTCTTATCCAAATCGGCACAACAAGCTAGAATTAAACAATACGCCTGCTCAGGCGTTCACACTGGCCTTCGCGGTTGGTAAAACAGTAAAATACCATCGCAATATTCTAAAAAATAGGTACGTAGTGCGTACATGTTGCATGCCATCAAAACCATGAAACTTCACGACTCAGAATACTATACAGAAATCACGGCCATCTCCATTGTTTTCTGTGTACGTGTTATTTGTCATGATTTGTCAGTCGGCAAGTACAGTAAACAGAAGCAGTTACCCCCTGGCACTGAACAAAGATGCACAGAAGGTCGATTAGAGCATAGTCTTTCAAAACATGGTCTGGAAACTCAGTAAACTTCAAAGCGGTTATAATGAGCTGGGATTTTACGTTGAGCCGTACCTTACACCATGCACATCCTTTGTTTTAGGTTTATTAATATTTAACTAACATGGTTGAATGACTGAACTGTCGCTGTTGGATGATTCGTTCATTATACTGAAATACAATGTGTTCATAATTGACTGTGCACCGTGCACAAAACTGCATAAACGCAAAACAAAAAGATAGAACAAAGACTTTAGCGGTGTTTCCAAACCATGTTTTGAAAG